AGATTGTACTACCAACCTTGTAGAGGATTTGGTTTAAGCGATAAACAGAATGGTAGAACAGATGTACTGTTCACTATCGCCATTGCTATTATGCATTATTTATTGCTTGATGAGTTGAGTTATCAAACAAGTTTGTGCTAATCATACAATTTGACGACTGGTGTATGGTTTTGCCGAAGGATTCAACCATACGACTTGTGGTTTTACGACATTTCTCCATTTGCAGGAGCTGCACATGTATGGATCTTTATCTTTATATCACTACAAGCCTGTAGTATTACGAGACTAACAAAATCATCTAATTCCACAGCCCAGACAATCTCCGATCTGCGAACTGGAAAGGGAGGCCAAATGGGAGAGAGCCAAGGGGAAAGGTAGGAACGAGTTCGTACATATGTGATAAAAATCAAACTTTGACAATTAGTGTCTCATCAAGGCTGAGATTATTCCCGGACAGCCTCGCCCATATTACATGTCCTCAAATGACGTAATTTATAAGGTTTTATCATGAAATTAGTGTGTGGACACGCTCAACCGTGAATCTCTCTCCATGCTTGTGAAGCCTGCTAGATTCATGTAATCTGCTTATTAATGTTATCGGTTATTTTCGCTCCACTTGCCTTTGTAGATAAACACGACTAGATTTATGTGTCTCCACTCTCCTGACGACGACGCATTTTTACTGCTCATTACTCTCGTTTTCGTATACGTAATTAGTCTCGCGTAGCAATAATACTTCAGTATCACTGTTTGGATTGACAAGTCAAGTGATCGAAAAAATTGATTATTGAATCCAAGTGATATGCTACATGAAAAGAAAGACCTATTTATTATTTACAGTAGTGGTCATAAGTATCCGAACGTCCCCTAATTCGGGACAGGATGAGCAGACGCTTTGAAATTTCCCTGCGTATAGTGTATTACAAACCCTGATCGTCTGTAAAATTTTGGCTCGATCAGATGTCTTCAGCAAAATTTTCCAAACATATATCCAAAACACTAAAAACACTGAAAACATATGAAAACACATCAAATCTCCAAATGTTTCTAATCGATTTACATGACCCTTTTTTTTGTTTTGTTTGTCAGATTTGTGTCTCAACATTCCTTGGAATATGTGACTAATTGGAAGGAAATCGTTACTACACTTGCCATCACGCAGTAATTTGTTCAACAATTATATGAATGATTCTAATGGTACAGAAGAACTAATGGAAAAAAAAATTGCCGGAAAAGTGTCAAGATATGAATTTTGAAATTTTATGGCCAAAATTGCACATGGGTATAAGTATGTCTCGAGGTAAAATATTTGGCGTTTGAAAATCTGGAGACATCCGATCGAGCTAGAACTTTACAGACGATCAGGGTTTGTTATACACTATACGCAGGGAATTTTCAAAGCGTCTGCTCATCCTGTCCCGAATTAGAGGGCGTTCGGATACTTATGACCACTACTGTAATTAGAAAGATTGCATTCAATCAACAAACTTTTAAAACTCGCGCTTCATGGTTACGAGTCAATTTCCTCTCACATAGCAAATTTGTAATTAAGGCTTTGTTCTCGATAAATATCAATGATTAACGCAGTAATTGAAATCTCGTGAATGCAATAAAGAGATCAGGTGTCTTAGAAGAAAAACGGTGAATGAAGGACGAAGAATTGAAAGAAAAGGTTGCTATCTGTCTACTTTAATCTATTGACTGTATTTACATATCAAGGAAAATTTGTATTTTAGCGGTTTGTAAAAAAATGTACTCTAGTACAGAATCTTGATGAGATTTTTATTACAAAATGTCGACAACTTCGTCTTCAAAGATACATTCATTTACTTCCGTTCATGCATTACAGTTTAGTGGGTCGACTCAACATTCGAAAGTCAAACCCTCCTTAAATCTTGTTAAATGAAAGGCGATTTATACGTATGGCTAATCGTCTAAAGTTACAATTTCATTAGAACATATATACAGCGCAAAGTATAAACTTATTTGCGAAGCGAATAGCTACCTTCTCTCTATCGAGAAATCCACCTGTATCGGAAATTGACTATGCTGCAGAATTATATAGCATACGAGCTCAAGTTAGTTCTATCTATAGAGAGGTAATCGATTAGATTAGAATTTTTGAGAGAGCGTACCATTGTCCTGTTTCCATGGATATAAATTGCGCTTATATTAGACATAAAGTTACGATATTCCACGCTCTCAATTGAGTAGCGGATAACTATATACTTTGTACGTTGCTCGCTTGAAGCATCTGCATATAAGGGTAAGGGTGAGTGTGTTAGAATAACTCTGATTGAGTAAACAAATCCATATCATAACATCATACCAGCCAGCTAAGCAAGTACTCGAAAAATAAAAAGGGCTGAATCGCAAGCATCCGAGGTTGTTTAATCCGAGGTTGTTAATCCGACTAGAAACAACCACCACACCAACACCACAACAAATACGCTATCAACGTTTAATTAGTTCACTGAAATCTATGACTGTGAAGATTCATCAGTTCTGAAAGACTCCTCGGTAATTTGTTGATGCGTATTAGTTGGTAAAAGGTAAAGGTAGGGCTGTAAAAATGCGTTTTATTAGTTCCTCGATACGTGCAACTTGTAAAAAATTTCATAAGCTTACCTAACGGTCGTCAACGACCAATGTTTTACATGTGGTCATCGTAGACAGCGTATCCGTATTGAAGTAAATCGCATATTTATAGGGGAGTAAGGAAAAAATTTTTCCGTATTACAGCGAGCGCCACAGATAAGGTTGAGTTACCATATGCGTTATCCGATATGTCGTATAATGTAAATCCCGTATCCCGTCCAGGGACCCTAAAACCCGCATTTATATTATGTAAATCCCGTCCAGGGTCCCCAAAACCGCATTTACATAGTGACGGGATTTACATACAACAAATACACTACTTGCCTTTCTACAAGGGAAAAAAAGGCTTTATCTCATCTCCTTCCTTTGCTCTCCTTAGCTTTACAGTATACACGTGCCTTTACACAAATTGGTTATCTGCGAAACAAAAGAATATAAGTTTATCTTACCATAGGCCGACATCCAAATGTCACCCTCAAATATCCGCGCACCACTCGCACATCCCAACTTCTACAACTAAATTTTAGAAAGTTATATTGTTCGTCGATCACAATCAATACCTTGCCAATTTATCACTAGCATTAGATGTCTTTGTTAATAATAATAACCAGGAACTTGAGAAACGGACGGAGAAATAATGAAATATTTGCCGAGATGATGCGTATGCATGTATTAATGTAGCATATAATAGTTAGAGAGGTTGTGTATATATGGCTCATTCTAATTGAGAGAAGAGTAGCATGAGAAGCGCGCCGAAAGCTATTTGCAGCTTCATAATAGATGCGTCTTCTAAAGGAATTAAACTGATGGAAGAAGTTTTTTTTGCTCTTGCAACAAGACTACGAATAATAGTGGTGAATTGAGTTTCTCCATGAAACACCTGACTTTGTGATGATGAACATTGAGATTTATACCTAAGATGAAATAAGTTGGCCATTTTATTTCTGTCATCATGACCTATTAATATCATTGCTGTTACTAGTGCTATCGTTTCTATTTGTTATGGTCAGTTTGCTGTATCTACTATTTATGTATATGGCTGTGATAAACAAGATGGTCATCCCTCGCTGTTTGATTGCTGCCGGGGGTTATTTACATATTAGTATGAGTAATCGAAATAGTGAAGGTTCTCATCTCGGTATTTGTGATGACGAAGGCACTGTTCCGTATTGTCATCTTCCGTAGCTTTAATCGCTGTGCGTTTATTTACTATAATCAAGGAAGTATAGTGATCATTGTCCCGCAACCTGTATTAATTTTGTTTTACTAATGTGTATCTTATATGATAATGAAGTTTATAAAAGTTTGGAAGATGTTTGTACTTGACCGAAGTGACACCGGATAGTTTCTTCCTTGATGTTAAGGTGTTGGCTCTGTCTGTTACTGTCTCTCTACCTTTAGTGTGAGAATAGCTTTGGCACGCATGTATGTTCAACAATGACCAGTGATTGATATAAATACCAAGTGACAATTAATAGATTCAAGTTGCAAAAATTCAGAATCTATATTAGAAAAGCAATTTATTAGTATTGAAATGATTTTTCTTTTCATAATTACTAAAAAATATCTCATTGCTGATAATCTATTCAATAGAAAATAATTTTTACTAATTTTTACCATTTTAAATCTCATCACATCTGGTTTATAAATTAATACATAAATAAGATGAAGCAATTGATGCACTAAAAATCTGATACTTGAGAACACGACTGCTAAATTGGGATTAACTTCATCAGTGTAGTGGTCAAATTGACTAATTGACAAGTACGTATGGGTCCCCCAAATAATTGTTTTATTTTACTTTCTAACCTCATTGATTCCCTTATGCTGCCAATATCTATTACTATCACTTGGATAAACACATCAAGTGATAGTGAGGCTGTTGAACGTTAGATGTAAATGTCTGGATCAGATACTTTATAATACCTATTATGAAACATTTAAAATGATGACACTATCCATAATTATCCATAATGATTATCAGTATTAATCATAAAATGCTGCACATAAATATTATATCTATTTAGTATGACACCAATTAACTACTTGATTGTATCAACTATTATGAATATATTGTAACTTATATTGCCTAGGTAACAATGTTAAATATGGTTTTGTTACTCAACGCTATACATGAATTTGTAACTATCATACTAGACAGAAAATTTTGTGTTACAAAAATTGTATAAGCGTCACTATTGTTACCAAGGGAAACCTGAATGCAAAAAATTTGTCAATAATGGTAACATAACAAAATATAAAAGAGAGATAATTTACCATAGAGCAGCGTATATTATTTTCTTTAATGAACTTGTACTAAACGCGCAAATTAATATAAATTAAATTTATAATAATGTTATTAACCAATTCGAACATTACATTAGAGACAAAAAAATGTTACGTTACCTGGATATACAATGACCATCGCTGCCGATTGAATCCTATAATACATATAAAGTAAAGGGCTATTAGTAACATGCTTGCCTTATTAATTTAACAGATAAAGGTTGTCATACCTGGGGACAGCATTTTCCATCAATAACAGCGTTATTCTATGACGGTAAAGTGTTGTTGTTTACCGTGTTTCGTTACAATTTATGTTTGCAAAAATAGCCAAAGATTTAATATATTACCTGAGGACAACATTGGTTATCAATACCCATCATATTCTGAATGCATAAAATAAGAAAGATTTCTTTAGCGTTGATGTTTAAAAGCTAATGTATGTAAGATTGCAGAATAAGTATTTACCTTCGGGCAACATACACCATTTGTAACGTTCATATCCTACACGACAAAAAATTTTCGTAAATAATAATAATGATAATAATAATAACTCATCTTACTATATGATTTGTTGCCGGTTTAGCAGTGTTTGTAATTTAATATAAATGTCATCATATATTACTCTAGGACAACACTGGTTATCACTAGCAATAGGTTTGTCCTAAACAAAGATTATCGTTAGTAAAATAATAATATTGACAAACATTCTTAATAACACAAATATAATTGTAAGTGGTTACCGGAGGACAGCAAACACCATCGCTTCTGTAGGATTCCTGCATTGTCAAAAACGAAAATGTTAGAAATCGACAACTATTAACCGTCATTCAATTTCTGGTTTGAAAGGATTACCTTTGAACAGCAAATGCCATTAACTGGATATGTGTCCTAACGTATTAAAAACAATTTTGTAACGTTAGTTGATTTAAAGTAACTATATACTAGAGCATGAAAATAGCATATTACCGTCGAGCAGCATTTCTTATTGCTGTCCAGTTGACTCTATATTATAAATGTTGTTGCCATACTAATACGTTAGTATTTTTAACAGTGATTGTTTATTTTTTGAATAAGCGCATTACCGGAGTAACGCATCTATTTGTTCCGTCATTGCAACAAACTGTACCCTGTAAGCGTGCAAATAAATATGAAATAAAATGTCAATAAATGTCGAATATATAACTAACTATTCAATGGAAAGAGCATATTACCGAATTACAGTAATGTATATTGTCACTGCAGCAAGTTGCCGTCTGAAAAGAACGACCGGTATATAATTAGTAATTGAAAGTTTCTAATACAAAGGCGCTGCTCTAAAGAGTCAAGCGGTTAATTTATAGAATGTTGCAACCAAAATTAAAACACGAGAAATAATGTCTTACCGCAGGAGCACATTTATTGTTTCCACAACTTTGGGGTGTCAACTGAAAATACCGAAGATAGAAAATGATTCATGCTTTTATTACAAAAAAAAAAAAATCACAAAATATTGCAAAAAAGTTTACACTAGAACAGCACCCGGTGGCATAACAAACTCCGCTCTGATTATGGAAAAGAATAAAAATAGTTAAGCGTAATAAACATTAATTGTTAAGATATCGATGAATAACAGAAGGGAGATGTTACCGATCCATAAGGGCAGCAATAGTTTGTACAACAACCTTCTCCCTATAAAACACGATAAGTTGTTAGTACCACGTATAATAAATTTATGACATAAGCAGAATTGTAACAACTAAGTAATAGCAACAAAAAATCAAAGCTTTACCTGCAGACAGCAACCACCCGCATTTGCGCAATAGCCATAACCCTAAACACACAGAATATATAAAATCATGATAAAAATTTCCAAGATCAGGCAACGGCACATAATGGTTGGCTTGTCAATATACTGCACATTGAATAAAATCTCATTGGATGTTGATAAAAGTACAACGGTATCAAGAGTCTATTTACCGGATTACAAGTCTGGCCGGGTTATAAGTAGACATAGTTAGTAATGGGCTTAATATGTGAAACACTCGAAAAACAGTATTGAAAGATGAAATGTTCAAAGAAGACTGATCTTCTCGAACTACTGTTCATAAGAATACCAAAGCAGATTTAAGCGGGTTATTTGGGTCGGCCGAAGATGTATTCACCACATTGTTTTGCATTGATGGATGAGATAATATCGCATATAATTGATCTGGAACATCATCACTGCGTGCAGCACCCAAGACCAAGAATGCAATTATCAATGGCACCAACAAATGAAACCGTTCCATGCTTTGACTGTTAATTATAATGTAAAGTTTAACATGATTATTTTTATAACGACGTTGCGTGGACAGAATTTAATCAGCCGTAAAAGCACATGTTAAATAGTACTGACCAATAATTCTACACTACACAAATCAGTCACTTTATCTATTCTGCGAAAATGTGATTAACACAGAAAAGTTAAAATTGACGATCGTTTTTGAGGGAACGAAGAAGCGCTCTATTTGTATCATAAATTGCAAGTACAGTCCTACCTCATTTGTAGTCCCCTTATATATCCCAGTTTTTCAGCTGGACAGATTTCCTTTATTGTATATACCCCAAAATTCTATGGTCCCGATCTATGACACTTGTATTACACACAAAATATCATGCCGTTTCTATTTATATAATCTGTGCCAAGATTGTACTACCAACCACAAATCAAGTGCAAATCAGGCCACAAAAATCAGGCCACAAAAAAATTTTTTAGAACAAAGAGAGTTTAAAACGGAAAGCGATATACGTAGTATAATTCGACGTTTAGACGATTTAGTAGAAAAGTCAAAACGCCAACATTATTAACCAATAAATTCGCACGCTTTAAATAACGCTGCACGCACATATACCTCAGTTGTATCCCACCTCGAATATATCCCCGAAAAAGCTCCGTCCCAAAGTAGGAATATAACTGTACCTCATACTCAATTTATGGAAACCTCTAAGATTACTAGCAAAGCGAAATGTAATGCACATAATGTCGTACAGTGTTGATGCTCAAAATGCTTAGTGAAAATACTGTTATTTATGTTACCTAAATATGAAATAATCGAGCGACTTACTTCTTGCTGTAAGCAATCGAATCATCATCTGCTTTCTATTAATACGATACAGCAATTTACCAAAGTCTGCAATGTGTAACGCCCACACTTAAACAATCACCTCACGGCATTTGTGCAGATCCCAAAAAACATAAGATAACTTCTCGCTAACATAATCTCATTAACCAATTAAGAGAGAAACTTATGTTTGCTCAGCTCTGAAGAGTTTCTCCATAGAATTTTCGATGTCCTACAAACAGTTCAGTATCTTTGTGTAATTAATACGTGTTACAACATAACTATTGCGAGGAACTTTTATTCACAACGAGGTGCTCGCTAAAGCCCAGTTTAAGCTGTTTTTATCTATCTACATACATGCAGAAGAAGAGAATAAAAGCCCATAAGACTGATTATTAGGGGGATGGGAGGATATATCTATTTTTGGATATGTTAATGATGGACTGTATGTGTTACAACATAACCAAGTCACTTCATCGCATGTATGACAAATAACGATTCTATGACTTTAATAAAAAGTTGAGAGTTTATGCAATGCAATGACCCTCATAGACGGTTACATTATAAAAGCAATTGCGCTTTTTTATTGATAAATTATGAGAGGCTTGTAAACTAGCCGTACAAACCCTTTAATCTTATCGTTGCAGTATGTGGTAACGAGTGCGTTGCCATAAGAACAACGAGTAGCAATACATAACACGTTAAGAGACGATACTGGCAATTAAAGAAAGCAAAGAAAGCAGAGAAAAATAATAAACAGAGCGGTAACGAGGTATTTGTAATAGAGATTATTAATATTAAATTAAAAATTTTGTGTCAATTTATTTGTAATTGTATTATTATGGTATACAATGAAACTCGATATAACGGATATCGCTTAGTATGTAGATTTTTCATGGAACAAATCCAACACTAATAAAAGTTGTCTTGATGTACCGGATTTTGTTAGTAATATCTCGATAAAGCCTGTAACTAAAGTACTATATGCCAGTTCTATCAAAAAATATACTTGATACAACGGATATCATAACCAGCCAATCAAATTCTTGAAGAAAGTGCGACTCGTAGAAGTGATGAACGAACAGGATGGATATGAATCAGCAGAAGATAGAGAAGTGGAGGTTAAAACAGTGATGCGATTGTAGGACTCGATAATGTAATAAATATATACAACAAAACAATCTCGGAATTAGTGCATCCTTAATGAGGGATTTACATGGTCTTAAAAGGACAAAAATATTGAAAAAAAGAAGCAAGTCACACGCTAGAAAGTTTATCGATTTTATTGTTGATTGACTTCCTCGTATAATAACCTACTTTTTTCAATAATCGAACGTATCTCTGGCAGATAAGCAGAACACTCTATGGTATATCTAAAGCATATTTCAAATATAGCAACTAAATAATTGCAAAGCCTTTATAACTTAAACTAAGCAAATATTAATTGAAGATCGCCCACTAAAGTTGATACAACATGGTGTGTTATGATATCCGGTATATTGTGAAAACTCGATTTAGCGGATCTCTCGATTTAACGGAGAAAAAGTAGCCTCCATTATCCGGTTTATTGTGTAAATAGTCAGAGAATATTGAGACAAAAACATGACATAGACACAAATACGTCATAGAAAAGGAAGTCTTAAATCTAACTCTAATTTCTATAACTTACCACATTCAGTTAAGGATTACGCTTTTGGACCGAGGGATGTTGAGAATTATTCATATAATATGTGTTACAAATAACACGAAACTATCACATGTTTTTTCAAAACCAAACAGTAAGATATTAAAATTTGAGACATTATTATTATGTATAATTTTATACAATTAATAAATTGGATGTACAAGACTTTATTATCCAGGTAGTGCATATGGTATCAGTCAAATCGTCCACGCTAAATCTGCGTAACACAAAATATGCTAGCTCGAATATCCTCTGACCCATAACTATAATGACTGGAGGCACTTGTAATTAACACGATAGATTTGTTATAATTGATAAGGTCCCTCAATACAAAGTTCAAAATATATATATATGTTGTATATAATTTGTGTCGCTATATAAATCCCGGATTTATATATATAATTTGTGGTACGCAATTTATAT